CAGAGTTCGAGTCCTGATGAGGTTAATTTTTTTTTTCAATTTCCCCAATCCTTCCAACTGCACTATGGCCCTGGGCTTTACCTTTTTTTTCTCTTATAGGAGTGATATTTGAATTTTATTCGTTCTATTGGATCTTGAGTTTTATTATCTGCAAGTGAAATACTGGCATAGGCCGCGCCACAGCCCAAGCCGCCGTGCCGACTGGACCCAGTTGGACTCCACTCCAACTAAGCGAATTAAAAAAAAAAAAACTAAAAAGTGCTGGCATATATTCAGACGGAACTCCCTAGTGATGAGCAGAAGAAGGTTTTTTTACAGCCTCCAAATATGATTGCTATTATTTTAATTTACCCTTAGAATTTAACTCGTTAATTACTCTTGTAATCCAAGCTAACATTTGTTATATTTATATTTCTAACGAGTCTCCTAGTATGTCGACTGGTATATCACTCTGGACGTCACGTGACGAGTGGGTATCACCCCTGCTCCGTACTCTGGAGATCCCGGGTTTGAAAATCAATTCAGTGATATGCTATTGTGATAGATTTATCATTGTTTTCTATAGTTCTTCTGAGCAAATTCCGCAGTATTACTTCAAAATAGGCCACGACTCTTTCATTTCATGCATATTCCAATTAATTTTCTACTGATAAACGTATAATTCGGCACTACATAAACTCAGTTACTGACAGAACCGTCACATAAAGAATAAAGAACACGTACCGCGGTGACAGGAACGAGAAAAATACAATGCACAGATGAGGTTCATTATACCGGTGATGCGCCTCATTATTAAACACTGACATGCTTTCCATCTGCTTCCATCCCTTAATTAACATACATAATGATGGAATAGCAAGCCATTTGTCGCCTTCTGGTGCTTTGCGTAACTACTGCCCTCTCTGATATACATGAGGGTATAACTGGAAGCATTAGCTCTTTATAGCAAATCCTGAAACACTGTTACTGCTTTGGATTTGCCTGTAAAATTAAGTGCACAATAAAAGAAAAAATCATAGATGTAACAATTCCTGACCAATGATAGAAAGAAGTTTATTCACGCGTACGTATGCTGCATACATATGTATGTACATGCATACATACATACACACGCACATGCATACATACATACATCACTTACTATACTACTCATGGAGCTGAGCCCTTCTGGAGGAGCCGCCAATTATGCAGCTACTCAAGAACTTCCCAGCATTTTATGGAACCTGAAGGTTCATTACCATGTTCACAAAAGCCCTCCACTGGTCCCTATCCTGAGCCAGATCAATGCAATTCATCCCATCCTATCTCTCTAAGATCCATTTTAATATTGTCCACCCACGTACGCCTTGTCTTACCAGTGGCCTCTTTCCTTCAGGCTTTCCCACCAGTATCCTATATGCATTCCTATCCTCCCACATTCGTGCTACATGCCCTGCCCACCTCATCCTTGACGTGATCATTCTAATTATACTTGGAGAAGAGTACAGGTTATGAAGCTCCTCATTATGCAGTTTTCTCCAATCTCCTGTCACTTCATCTCTCTTTGGTCCAAATATTCTCCTCAGCACCCTGTTCTCAAACACCCTCACACATACAGGTACACAATTTTAAAATATGATTTGGTGTTCTGAGAGACACTGTGTAGTGTTTCCGACAGCAGGAAAGATCAAGAAACATACATTCAAGGAGCCTGAGGAATTACGTGCAAAAAGACTTGAGCACTTACTGGCCCTAGGAGCCACCTTGAAGTCGCCCGTGGCTTTTTTGATGACATGCGCCTTTATCCCAGTGTAGTATATGCTTGCAGCCGAGAGCACTGCCTCAACTGTCCTTGCTTTCTCTGACTTATTCTGTGGAAATCAAACAGCGAAAGTTACTGTTTACATTTTACATGCTATGCACGAGGAAGTTACCTTAAAACATTCGCTCTTAAACCCTGAATTTGTGAAACGTTTGTATTTAAGCAATGAACCAAAGATTTGAGCTCCATTTTCAACAGCTAAGAATTATTTGTGATTTTTCAACAATAGAACAATAGATTAGATTATTGGATTTATTGACACCTTCTTTACAATCTATCTTATTTACAATCAATTACAACAGCTCACNGTTTATGGCTCCGTGATCAATAATAACGGGATTTGGATTAGATTATTGGATGTATTGACGCCTTCTTTACAATCTATCTTATTTACAATCAATTACAACAGCTCACAATAAATGATTATCTAAGACGTTCTCCATTCTGACTGGGCTACAACTATCTTCTCTTCAAGTCTTTCTTCTACTGACTTGATTAAAAGTTACTTTATACTGACTTCTGATTTCGAATGAAATCCTTCTTATCTGGACGGCCGCTTACATAGCGTAGTGGTATCCTAGGAAAATGTTTGTCGAATGCTCGTATCCATGGACACACCTGTTGGTTGAACAGCAACGAACTGGTTTTTAAGGAAGAAAGCTGTCTTCTGATATGTGGCACCGTGTAGATGTGGTGTTAACCAACATTTCGGAGGAACGTATCGCCTCCATCTTCAGGGTAGAAGGAAAAATANTTCATTCTCGTATCCTAGGAAACGTCTGTTTAACACCCAGCGATAGCTCCTGTGCAAGAATTGTGTCTCTGCGGAAAAGTGTTTTCCAACTCGTTTCCTTGAAACGGGCTTACATGTTACAATACGAACGAAATTTGTTTACGTCCTTTGCCCAAATTCCATGAAGCGAACTCACATAAGAAAAGTCATGTCCATGTCATATCTGTCAGGATATTTAATCTCCCCAAACTACTCTACGCCGGTCACGGTAGCCGAGCGGTCTAAGGCATGTACTGTCTTCGCTCGCTTGGAAACCAGGATCGTGGGTTCGAATCCCACTCAGTGCATGGATGTTTTGTGTGTATGTGGGGTTTTCTGTGTTTGTGTACAGGTAGAGGCCTTGCGACGAGCAGATCACCCGCCAAAGGAGTCCTACCGAATGTGTAAGATCTAGAAAAACCGAAGTTTTCATGGAGGTAGGCCTAGGCCCACTGGGGCTGTAGTGCGAAGGGGGAAAAGAAAAGAAAAGAAAAAACTACTCTGCATATTTGGAATAAACCTAGCACTTGGAGTAAATACTCTTAAAAGGGGGAATTCAGCTTTGGTTTCTATTGATATAGTACAAATCACATTGTACATGAAACCGAAATTTAATGAAAGCTATTGATTTTCTCAGAAACTGCTTATCATAAATCACTCCATACAAAACGAGAAAGTCTGGTATACTTATCAACTTTACTCACAAAATGAGTCCCATTTTTAATGTGTTACAACTTAAAATTAAGTTGTCAAATTGACTCGAATATAAGGTAGGCCTACCTCAGTATGAAACGTTAAGATATTCCATGACCACTGTGCATTGTGTGGTTCCATGACTCCAGAAGTCGCTAGAGCGAAATACGTATATAGCCAGGAGTCCCGCAGGACTCGGAACCAAGAATTACTGTGCTGGCGAGGGCCAGCAGCGATTTACCCAACCCGACGCGTGAGCAGTGTATCACGACAACCAAAGACGTGGAATCTACTGCTGCTCCCTATGACGTGTTATTTATTTATGAAGACTTACATGAATATTAACGGTAATACTGAAGCCTTCACCGAGTTTCACTTCATCCAGGTTCACAAGTTCGAAATCAATATCCTCTCTTGATTTCTCCGGTATCATATAGTACCTCTTGGCTCTCTCTGAGGCTCGAACTCCGTTCAGCAAAGTCAGGCGTTCAGCTTTTGTTCCTGAGGATGTAAAAATACGATAAAAATTGCGATATTCAAGCGCTGATACCTGTCGGCAGGATCGTTTTTATCATTTCATCTGTATTATAATAGTCACTCAGGGAGCTGAGCCCTTCTTGAGAAGCCGCCAATTGTGCAGCTACTCAAGGCCTTCCCAGCAGTTTATGGAACCGGAAGGTTCATTACCGTGTTCACAAGAGCCCTCCGCTGGTCCCTAACCAGAACCAGATCAATCCAATCCACACCATCCCATTCTGTCTCTCTTTAAGATCCATTTTAATAATGACCACCCACTTAGTTAGTTANTCCCGGAGGACTTGTTCCAGGATTTTTTCCGCCCTTAAAAATTCGACGACCTCCGCCGGGTATTTGAACGCGCGTACTACGAGTCATGAGGTGGGAACGTTACCTCTAGACTACGGAGGCCGCTGACGACCCACTTACGCCTTGTCTTTCCAGTGGTCTATTTCCATCTGGCTTTCCCACCAATATCCTATTTATTATTCGAAGAGCGGGATAGACACCCGTTCCACTTGGTTTGCCACGTAATGATCTGGCATTTCGCCTATAGAATGTACAGTTGGGTTCATGTGGTGCTCAGAATAAACATTAGTTTACTTATCATGGAGGAAGGAAACAAATTTTGAGTATTATTTTGAAGAATTCCTTAGGCTCGCATATTTTCCTTCCAAGTAGTCATAATTTATGTTCCGACTTCAGAGTAAATTCGTCACGTTTACACACTCACTTAAAAGAGAGGGCATTTTTTTTTGTACAATGAATTTTTCAGTTTTTTTCTGAATTACTGAATAAAAATAGTTTCAGAAATAATAATAACAAATAAAATTTAAAGAATATAATCACAATGTTCTCATAATCCTCATATGTGTTTGTTAATACTGTCCCTACATACTTATATTTTTAACTTCTTTAAGTTTTAATTCATTTATTATTAATTTGGCGACATTGTTGGTACCTCAGAATATGTCATGTCCGAAGAAAGTATTATTAATGGGTGATGAATTGTAAGGGATGTGCTGTACAGGAACTTGACCGGAGGAAAAGAGGACAGCCATTTGAAAACTTTCTCAACTCCGACAACAAAGTAGGATATGAACATTTAGACTATTATTTTCTTCGATTTTCAAATGATTTATTACATGTAGTCGCCGATCACAGTGGCCACCCGGTCTAAGGCATCAAGTAGGGCCGCTCCATAGCTCAAGCGGTTAGTCGCTGGCTTCCCACCTCTGCGTCCCGGGTGCGATCCCGGGTCTGGTCAAGTGGGATTTGTGGTTGACAAATGGGCACTGGGGCAGGTTTTCTCCGAATACTTCGGTTTCCCCTGCCAATCTTCATTCCACCAACTGCTCCACAATCACCCTCACGTATCATCTGGGGCCGGTACAATATGCCAGAATTGGCCGGAGTGCAGGGGACTTAGTCCCACCCCACTAGCATAAAAAAGGCATCAAATATCTTCCCCCGCTCGAACACTGGCGTCGTGGGTTTAAATCCCACTAGAGGCATGGATATCTGAGTGCGTTTATTCTGTGTTTATGTAAGGTAGCTGCTTTGCTACGAGCCGATCCCTGTCCAAGGAGTCCTACTGACTGTGTACAGGATTAAGAAATTGAAAAAGAAGCCAAATTCTAAAGAGCCGTAGAGCTAAAGAGAGAGAGAGAGACAGAAAGAAGAAAAGATTACACTCAGTAATATGTAGCCCTTTTTGGTGATTGAAAGTAAAGGGGAACCCAACGTAATGATGGTTCTGTAATGCAAATTACTTTTTATGGTCCGCTGTCAACGTTTATAAATATTTCTTTTGGTTTCGTGGCACTGTCTTTCAGATGGAAACAGTGAATCATAAAGCGAACTACGGTTGGATGTTTCATCATTACCTTCCTTGTTCTTGTATTCGTCTGTAATATCATCTCTGTCTCTGTCTCCATTAGGATCATATATCCATGGCTTCTTTGTCAAGATCATTCGCCCAATGCTGAAAGAAATAATATGTACGCTATATTATTTATTCATCCGGTGCTCTGTATATATAGGTGCGTGACTTGAGTAAATGTTTTCATTTAGATTTGAAAATATTATCATAGTACTGAATTCAAATAGGATGTTAAGCAGGACATGTAGAAAACATAGGAGAGACATAAAATTGCTACATATACTTAGCAGGAAACAATCAAGGAAATTTCAGACACATAAGCATAGATTTGAGGGTACCGTATTTACGCATGTATAGGCCGCGTGCGTGTATAGGCCGCAGCACAATTTTCAGACAAATTATAGAAAAAGTAATTTTCTTGGAATATCATTTCAGGAGTAGAACACCCTGTATTACTAATTATGAATATATATATTTTTTTAAATGAAGTGTGATTTCGAATATTTCGAATATAAGCCGCACCCCAGTTTTCCTCTTGAGTTTTTGGCAAAAAATGTGCGGCCTATACATGCGTAAATATGGTATTATTAAAACCGAAAACTAGCATGTTTCTGGACAGAACACTTTGGTTCACGAACTGTCTCAACGAACTACGTTACCACTTGCCCCCAGGAGAGGAAAACGTTACCATTTTTCACACAGGACAAACAGCCGCGGGTATCCACTGTTCAGGAGGCTGATGAAGGAATAAATATGAGCCCTGAATGTAATATTTAACTCCAGTCTCGATATTTACTGGTATTTGTTTGAATCGATCTTGGAGTAGTTGAATTCACTGTTGCTGTCTTCCTTCCACCTCACCAAGTCAGCATTCACCGTTGACAGCAAGAAGGACACGTCGTAATTGAAACCAACCGCGCCACATTTGATGGCTTCAACAGAAGCTGGGCCGCACTGGTACACCCCTGAAAAAAAAATCCTGCTTTGGGTTCCGATATATAAGGTTTTTTGCAAGGGAGCCGCCACTGCAGCGCCACAGTGGCCGCTTGCCCGCCGTCAATAGCACCGAAATCTCTGCCACGAAACAGTGTGGAAACGTCACGTACGGTGGCTTGATGATATGATGTCTTCGAGTGGCCATGGTTACGTCATGTATGAAAGACCGATATCCCACAAAAATGGTTGCAGCTTGCCAGAAGAGATTCGTTTCGTTTTCGTTACATGTATCCATATCCGTGTCACGTGGTTATATTTCCTATTAACGTCGGTGTCACTAACTCGGGACTCAGCCTCGTGAGGATAATTGAGGAGTTATTGCAAGGAAATAGCGGCTCCGGTCTAGAAAACCGAGATTAACGGCCGTGGGGATTCATTGCGCTGACTACGCAACACCATCCATCCGCTAAAATTGGCACTAACTTCGCCGACAAGAGGCGGTCGCTCAGTAGGTATAGTTCGCTTGGGGACTAAAGCCACGGAATTTGTTTTTTGTTATCACTAACGCGGGAACAAATGATGTAGAAGAAAACGGTCGTAGTCTAATTAGAGGTACTATCCCAGAATTTGCCTGGAAAGACTAAATAAAACCATGAAAACTTCAGTAAAGATATTTGATGTCCCTGCCGAGATTAGAATCCAAGAACTTCCAGAATACACGTCATAGGTTTTATCACTTGTGTCAGATTGCTCGATAGTATCCATAACTGTAATATAACCAACAATTCATTCAAATACAACTAAACTACAGCCCTCAGCGATATTGAATTATTATTAATAATTTGATATTTTGTTAATTTTTGCTTCCGCTTGTATAGATATAGCCTGTTATTTCATGGCTTCTGGCCGTGGATGCCGACGTCAGTTCTGGGTGACTTTCGGGTGAGATTTCTAACGGCGGAAGTGGCTTAGGAGCAGGCTGTGCAGTTTTTCCCCTGCAAATTATAATTCCACCGTAGATCAACACTCACCTATCACCGTCCCCTAAAGTTAGAGAAAATAACCGTCACTTTCTTTAATAAAATTAACTCACTGGTCTTCGTAGTCCAGACACATTATGTTATCTCTGAGGTAGGAAATGAATCATTAAATAGTTGCTGTGATTAAAATGATTTTAATGCTTAAAATCGCAAATAATATCCTCGAACCTATCTAATGCAAGACCACAGCGTCACCATTACCCCAAACTATTTGGAGAGAAGGGAGAACAATTGGGTCTTACCGTCACTTGTTTCTTGAGGGGTGGCGTCGATTGCTTGCCACCCTCCGTACCCTTTGGGCAAGTCTGGGCGAGCCATCCACACGTCGTTCCAGACGTGATAGTTCCAAATGGAATCGTCACCATCGGGGTTTGTGGGGTCGTAATCCATCATTTCCATGTCGGCTGTGTAGTATCGGTCTATGGTAAGGGATGCGTTGGCGTCGTGGGCAGATACAAGGTTCGACACAACACGGCAAGGGATGCCCAAAGCACGACACACTGAAATAAATTAAGAGACATCGATAAATTTAGTCTTCCACTAAGAAGAATACTGAGTGAAAATAAGAGATTTGAGATTTTCATAGCAGTAACAATTTACATTGTGTTCTCTTGGTTACGGTGTTTCCGTGTAGCAGGTGGCTATCGGCGTTTCGAAGATCTTCTGGGTGGAAGATACTTCCCCCGAAACGTTGGTGGGCAATAGACTACATGATATCATAACTCACAATAGGATAATGTAAACAGAGATGATATTTGAGAGATGAAGTCAGTATATAAAGGACTCAAGCAAAGTTCACACTGAAGCTCAGTATGTCTTACCTTACTCAATATTTTATAAAGACAATTAATGTAGAAGGATACGATGATTAGAGGAAATGATGAATGCATAAAAGACTGGTCGAAACCCCAATGGGATGAAGTGAGTTTGGATGTGCATGATTGATACGATGATAATGTTAATATTGAAGAGTTTTATATATATATCTTTTGGGTTAGAACGGTATGTAGCCCGTTGAAAGTCAACAGACATTTCGGAGGAACATTCTGCCGCTTCCTTCAGGGTCAAAGAAAATGTCAAGCAAGGAATCAGCATGAAGCAGGTAGCAAGCAGAGCTAAGCTGGTTTCCTACTTGACTTAACCACAACCGTGAGAAGCGCAGATCCCTAATTAATATTTAGAGTGGGACAGATGAGTATGAATTTTATTCTGCTCCTTACGTCATTGTGAATATTTGTGCAGAGTTGTTAAAAATGAAATAAACAGCCATAATTTTAGATATAGCCGGTCACAGTAGCTGCGCGGTCTAAGGCATGAACTGTCTTCGCTCTCTCGAACGCTGTGATTGTGGGTTCGAATCCTATTTAAGGCATGCATATTTGGTATATTTATACGTTTATTATGTGTTTGTGTTGTCGTGTGTTTAGGTAGAGGCCTTGCGACGGGCTAATCACTCGGCCAAGGAGTCCTACCGTCTTTGAAAAATGATAACCGAATAAGAGGCCAGGGCCCTGAATGGGCTGGAAGAGCCACTGAAATAAAAATTAGATACTCGGTTTCAACACATTAATATTTGGCTATTTAAGAGCACTTTATATAAATCCATTAATTACATCGTGAGAATAATTGAGACCGATATGTTTGAGGGTGTGAAAGGAAGCAATAGAGGTCTGCATTAAGATGTTGTGACGTGGATGGCGCAACGGGAAGTAGGGATCACGCGAACTCTGCGGTCTCACGAGTGACGTCACATATCCCCACCCCTTCCATTATTACGCAACGCTCGGTAAACACTCCGTCGCCTCCCGCGGTGACGTAACAGCACTTCCCATAGTGACGTAACAGGGGACACCGCGGTTACTACGCAGCAATAAACAACTCTCGGCAGCGTTCCCCAGCAACGCTGTAAACAGGACGTTACGCAACAGTGTTAGCTATCGCGTAACTGTTTTCTGTGTTGTCAGTGCGGAAGCTACTAGAGCAGTGTGTAGTGAGTGTTGAGTTACTAGAGAGAGAGAGTTATAAGCATCCAGTGTGAGTTGAAATACATTATTATTGAGTTGTATCGAGTGAATGCCAGTGACTCCAGCAGGAGAAGTAATTGTGATTATGCAGATTGCAGTAATTGGGAAATTGTAAATTGTGTAATTGTAAGAGCGAGTGGAGTAAATTTGCTATATCCAATATTTGTCGCGCGTTACATACCCAACACGTGACAATATTTCTCTGGAACTTTCTTGAATGAATTGAGAAGAACTGGGAACAACTTCAGTCAGTATAACCGGTGTCAAGTTCGTACGAAACAGGATGGGTGAACGATAGCAACATCTGTAGCAACATCTGGCTCCTTACTTGTGGCAACAACTCCAGCAAACACCCAGCATTGCCCGTATTTGACCTCACTACCAGAGTCGAGATATTCCTCCAGGATTGGCACTGATCCTGTCCAGGCGGCCGGTGCCGTGCCGTCTTCATATTGCCCGTTCCATCTCCCTAGCAGCACTCCCAGGTCATCATTCGAGTTCACCTGCAACGAGCAAAACGGTTCATCTACTGCACGTCTTACCATGTGTAGGCAGCCTTAAGGAAGAAACGCTCTGCGCAAATGTATTTCATTCTCCCACCCGTCTATGGGTATTTCTTTATTGCTAATGGGGTGGGACAAAGTCCCTTGTACTGCGGTCACTTCTGGCCTATGTACCAGCCCCAGATGATAGGTGAGGGTGATTGTGGAGCAATTGGTGGAATGAATATTGGCAGGGGAAAACGAAGTACTCGGAGAAAACCTGCACCAGCGCCACTTTGTCAACCAAAAATTCCATTTCACCTGATCCGGGATCGAACCTGGGCCGCCGCGATGGGAAACCAGCGACTAACTGCTTGAGCTATGGCTTGGCCCTCCGTGTATGGTTAAGGGAAATATTTTGACAATAGTATCCACTAACTTTCTGACGACGTAACGGTCTACGTCACTAATAGATGACGCAATCTCGTTCTCAAGTAGATGGAGTTACACAAAAATTATCCACTATTTTCTGATCCTGATACAAACATCAATGTTACATGAAACAGTCGATTTGAATTAAAGAAATTCTGTATGGATGCCATGCCACCGAACGTCGTGTCCGAGTGGTTAGTGCCCCTGCGTTATATTCGGAAGATCCAGATTTAAAACCACTGCAGGAAGATCCACCTGATTTTTCTTAATTTCTCTCAATCTCTCACAACATGCCAGGGTAAAAAAGTAAAAAGTAAAAAGTAAAGCTATTCCTGTACCAGGCCGTGAAAACCCACAGGGTTGTGAGACGTTGAGGGTCCCACATTATCTAGACAATCGGCTCAAAGATGGCGGTAAGGTTGTTAGCCTTACGCGCCGGCCGCGCTTTACTCCCCAGGAAAATTATTTAATTAATTCCTGGTACTCATTTATGTTAGAGGCGGAGTGAACACCAGGGCCATAGTGCGGCTTGAAGGATTAGGTCAAATGAAAGAAATCCAATGTCCTCTTCGGGACTTGAACCCGCGACCTTCCGGCTTATAGCATAGCCCCTCGACCAACTACATGGACTCAAAATTGGTATTTACCGTTTCATTTCGCATCCTTTCTAATTAATTATTCACTTAGAATCATAAGATTTGGGTCCTCCGGGACTTGACGCCGTGTAGGTGGATACCAACGTTCCGAAAGATCCTATTTCCGTGAACTTCTACCCGAAAGATGGAGGCAGTAGTGTGCTCCAAAATATCATTGTGTTTCCAATAACGCTAACGGCGTTACATCTCATAGAACCGTAATAACATCGCCGCCGTTACAATCTCGTTATTCACGTTAAGTTGTATAATCAGAGTCGTTAAACGAATTACAAATAAAATAAAATTATATTAACGCTGATAATTGGGTCCACTTACCATCTTGGATATGGCACGTGTTACGTAGATGGGGTTGCCGCGGTTCACAGGGGAAAGGCCACTTCGACTCATCATCAGGTCCACAGCAGGCAGCACCACGGCATCGAACTGACCGAATATCCACTCGCGGCCCCTGGCGGACCCGTGAGGCCCCACCCAAATCTTGCCAATGTCGTTGAGAACATACTCGTCCAGTAAGCGCTCGTCACTCATGAATACCTGGTCATCTGGATAACATATCAGCATCGTGACCTTGAGGGATGAAGTGATAGCAGGTTGGAGGGAACTACATAATGAGGAACTTCATAACTTGCACCCTTCGCCTCATAATTCGCCATAATTAGAATAATCAATTCAAGAAGAATGAGATAGACAGAGCATGTAGAACGCATTGAGAAGACGAATGAGTATGGAATGTTGGTGGGAAAGGTAGAAAGATAGCGGCCACTAGGAAGACATGGGATTAGGTGGAGGATAATATTAAAATGGATGTTTAAAATATAGGGTGGGACAGTGTGGTTAGGATTGGTCTGGAACCATATAGGGGTTAGTGGTTGGCTCTTGTGAACACGGTAATGAACCTTCGGGTTACATAAACTCATGGTAAATTACTGAGTTGCTGGGCGACTGGCGGCTTCCCAAAGAAGGCTCATATGAAATCCAGTAAATAAAATCTGTGGGAAAATCACAGAGTCCCAGAAGAGAATGAATTTCCACACGAAGCTGAGTTAATACATGAAACATACAATTAACTGACAAATAATTTTTATTCAATGCATTGCACAAAACAATCCACCAGTGTGAGATCCATATCCTAGGTTCACAGCTTAAATAACTGCATAGATAAGTTATATGGGCATATTAATGGTCATTGAATGGTTGCCTGGGTTTCAAAACTGTACTTTAAACGAGACGATCATATTTTTGCTTTAATAGATTATAGAAGATTGTGTCTTTGACAGCAATAATTTTGGGGATTTTAAAATTTGCTGTGAAGTCTCGCATCTGAATGGCACTGAAAACAATATTGTTATCTCTAACATTTATCTGTTGTTATTAAATTGTTACATCACGTCACCATTGAAACAAGACAAAGATATTTGTGATGTATTTCAGTGAAATAATTTATAACATACACATCAATGGGACCGTGGCGTGTTTAGTTATATTACTGTAGACACGTTACTGAGCATGGGAAAATGGTGTGCAAATATTTCAACGGTTTGGAATCTAATTCCTGTTCACTTTCTTTCTGAATTACAAAATGGAATGTGTTAAAAAATGTTTACTCTTTGTGTCTTATTATTATTATTTATTATTGTTTTTACAAAATGAACACATATAGAGTTTGCCTTATGCTCCTGTCTGTTTGCTTCAGCCGAATAATAGATAGAAACTTTAGTTGAAATTTTGTATATGACCTATGAAATTCGAGACTTCTAACTCATACTTTTAAATTTAAATACGCTGTTAGAATTGTTTACTTTTAAGATTACACTATCAGACAATTCAGTGAGAGCCTCTAATGCGTCAAGATATTCACACTAAATTTAATGAGAATTATAAGTTAGTTTCAGAGGTAAAAGATGTCACACATTTGGATGTAAAGTTTTTTTTAATGAACAAGAACCTAGTTATACACGGAGCTTAAGAAAACATGACATGGGGATGAATAGCGTAATTACTGACCTGGCTTTTATTAATCTGTAAATTTTCAGGCCTTGTTTGCGTAACTTTGATGAACCTTTTTTTTTTTTCAATAATATCAAACTTCTTGAACAGCTGAATGTGCCATAGACTGTTAACGGCGTATTTAATTGTTGCGTCATGTTTCAGAAATTGATATGGATTTTGACACCTCTCTTTGGTTGAAATATTTTTTTATCTTAATCTCTTAAAAATTATGTTTTCCTGTCATCAACAATGGATCTATGAATAGCCGGACAGTCGACAGGACTACTCGGATGTAGTCAAAGTCAAAGTCATATTGCGACTGACGGTCAGTCAGTCAGTCAGTAAGTCAGTAAATCTTGGTGTCGAGCACCATCTGGGGCTCATGACCAGATATTTATTACTGTTTGACTGTTATGGTCTTGTGTTCTGTGAGGCGCCCTCTTTGACGAGAGGACGGATCTGTATTTTGTATATGCTGCTGGCTCTTGCCAGCGCAGTTTTTCTCGGGTCCGAGTCCCTTGGGACTCGCGACCATATTTTACTGTCTCAGATTTGAGACTTCCCTTTTCGTCGCCTCCTACGACTTGCAGGGTCACGGTGGAGGTATTCGACCCCACCTCCACACGGGTTTTACTCTCACTCGGATGTAGGTCATGCTCATTGTGAGGTCTCTGCCCGGAACGGACAACAAGAAAACACAGAAAACACTTAAGAGTTTAGCGGAGTAAGAACACTTCTACTTGTAATCGGGAGGTGTTCGGTAAATATTTTGGGTGGGATTTCGGCTCTGCTGGCTTGTTTCTCTTGGTTTTCTTCAGTTCCTCGAAATCCCAGGAATTTATCTCGAATACGTCATGATCAGTTTCCCCTAACTCATTTAGATTCGTCATAAATTCTCCTTCGTTTCCACGGTGTGTAGTCTGGATGCTGACCGAGTCGGAAAATGAGCCACGAGAAAAACGTAAAAAATGTGGATATGTCTGAAGTGGGATTCGAAATCAGAATCCCATTTTGGTCATGGTTAGGGATAGTAGGTACGATACCTTATATAAAACGGCTAGGTATATTTAAAAGTTAACTTACATTTTGCCCACGGATTGAAGAGCAGGTAAAGTTTATCAGCATAGATGAAGACTTTAGGCAGACTTTTTGAGTTATCCTTTGGTTTCGACTCGATAGAAAACTTCCAAAGTCCAACTGGTATGTCGGGTGGGGTATAAACCTGTGCACAAATAAATAAAACTGTGGTAAATAAGTTATACGTGGATATGAAATGTTTTTTTCACAAGTAATTAGAGTGAACATGGCTCGTTGTCTGGATGAGAAATATATACAGCCTTTCAAAATCCGACTGAAATGAAAAGGAAGGTTACCTACCCTGAAACCAATATTTAAACATAAGAATCCTGAACAAATTTTACTGGCTCTTGTCGAATGTTTGTGGAGATATGAAACGGACACAAAATTATAGTCAGTAAATTTGAAGGAAAACTAATTGGTAGACCTAGACGTAAATGGATGGATACAAATAAAAATAAACTCAAAAGATAGTGGGTGTGGATGGGATTCAGCTGGTTTAGGAGAGGGAGCAGTGGCGGACTCTTGTGACGAATAATGGAGTTTCGGATTCCATGAAGCGGAAGATATTTCTTTACAAGCTTAGCAGTTGCCGGTCACGGTAGCCGACAGGTCTAAGGCATGCACTGTCTTCGCTCGCTTGGAAACCGAGATCGTGGGTTCGAATCCCACTCAGGGCATGGATGTTTAGTTTGTGTGTGTGCGTTTTTCTGTGTTTGTGTACAGGTAGAGGCCTTGCGACGAGCTGATCACCCGCCCAAGGAGTCCTACCGAATGTGTAAGATCTAGAAAAACCGAAGTGAACGGAGAAGTTCATGGAGGTAGGCCTAGGCCCGCTGGGGCTATAGTGCCAAGAGGAAAAAAAAAGCTTAGCAATTATCAGGTTTGAGACTTAGATTATGCTCCGTGGAGTTAGTTAGTTATACATAATGTAAATAAATTATTGTAGCCCCAAGTCAAGTTAATGAAAACTGCAGGTTTTATAGAAATCAAAATTTTGTTGGGTCTTACAGTTACTCATTAATTAGCTGTGCTGGATGTGGTAAATTGTGTTGGAACATCGCAAAGCTGCTACTTGCATGAGGCAACACAACATAGGCAAAGGCAAATATGTATATTATTCTAACGGGATACGAACCCCGGCATGTTGCATTAAGCCGACCCTCATTACCAAGTATTATTATTAATTAATTAATTAAAATATCCATACGAGACACGATAGGAGTCAGGATATCTCTCTCATTATATCGATGGGCTATGGGCTCAACGGCTGGGGCTCGAATCCCGACAGTGCCAAGAGGGCTTCTTGGCTTCACAGCGTCCAGGCCAGCTGTGGTACCCACTAAGCCTTCTACCCGATGGGTCAGAGCTTTTTTCGTTAGGGATAAAACGACCGCCACGTGAAGCTGACCACTCACGGCCAACTAGTGTCGAGAAGAAAAATGGTGGAGCTGTACCTCCATTCCCCCCTAATTCTTCATGACATGGTGCTTCATTGATCAAGCACAGGGACAAATTTACGTTCACTTTATACGAGATACTAAGATCATAACATATTGAAACTTGAAGCAACGAAACAATTTTTTGTGCTCTAATCAAGCGAGCATCTTGGTAGAGCGGGTAGCATTAATGTTTCTTATAAGGAGCTCTTTGGATTCAGATTTATACCAGAAGACTGATTATCTTTCCTGAAGTTCTTACTGGTTCTCCTCAATGCCTTCAACAAAACACCAGATAATTTACGAAAATTAGCGAAAGATCGCATTATTCAAATATCTGTTTGTCTATCCATCTCTCTATGACTCTACAGCCCTTGTGGACCTTGGTCTCTTTTTTCAGTTTCTTAATCTATACACAGTCACTATGACTCCTTGGACGGGTGATCAATCTGTCGCAAGGCCTCTACCTATAGACAGAACAACACACGGACATCCAGGCTCTTAAGTGGGATTCGAGCCCACGATCCCAGTGTTGAAGCTGGTGATAACGTTTCATGTCTTATATCGCTCGGCTAGTGTGATCGGCCCTTATTCAACATAATTATTAAAAATTCATTCAATAATTCGACGCTACAACATTGTCGTTAATTGCATTAATGAACACAAATCTGATATAAGTTCGGTTTACTGTCCCTGTTTCCGATGTCGTCTTACCTCCACATTCATCGAGCTTTCGTCCTTGCCCACAATCCTCGCGTGCCATATATTATCATCTTCTCTTCCCTTGTCACTGACAGTGCACACAGCTTTTGTGCCTTTGATGATGTTGGGACGAACCCCTGCGACAAAAGAAATTCACACCGATTACTATAACATGTCCTTTTCTAGGAAATATACAGGACTAGGCAACTCATACCTCTCATAGTTGTTTATATAACAACACTCTCAGAATACGCCGGTCTTTGTGGCCGTATCGCTCTAGATTCATATGCGAGATGTACTCTGTTTGACTCTGGGCTGCGAAAACTGAGTTTTTTTGGTTTTCATCAGTCCCTACAGGCAAATTCCGGGACAGTATCACGATTATTCCATAAACGCTTTCTTCCAAATCCGTACCAGTTCATTATTAACCTATCGAGGTACTAGACGTAGGTCTGATTACTGAAAGCGTTGTAAATAAACCTCAGATTATAAACCGGACGCTATCGGTAACTCAGAATTATATAACATAGAAAGGTTTGATAACTGCATAATGAGAAGTTACCGCTGGTATAGCTCTCAGGGTCCTTGGCATACTCAAACCCCCTCACCACGATAAGGTGGAGACACCAACGAAGGGGGCTTATGTTATCGGAAGAAAATTTATGAAACATTGAATGCAAAATATCAGACTCATATATTTTAGTACAGAGACACGACAGTTCTGGAGTGACCACAAGAATATTCTTAAAAGGCATCGATGTAAGTGAACAATAAACATTTTGGGCTGCCTCAGGTAGAAATCCGGGCGACGCCTGTGAAGACAGCGTCGTTAATTAATCAATAAATAAAATAAAACAGACCACCTCTGTGGTCTAGTGGTCAGAGTTCCTGGCTACAGATCCAGAGGTCCTAGGTTCGATTCCCGGCGCTTCCCGATTTTCTGAGAAGTAGTGGGTCTGGAACGAGGTCTACTCATCCTCGTGAGGATAATGGAGGAGCTATTTCAAAGAAATTTCGGTTCCGGTCTAGAAAACCGAGATTAACGGCCGTGGGGATCCGATGTGTTGACCACGTGACACACTTTATCCGCAAAAGTTGGAACTAACTTCACCGACAAGCGGCGGTCGCTCGGTCGGTATAGTTCGCTTGCGGACTACAGGCCACATGTAAGTAAAATAAACAGTTCACGGCTACTTACCTCGTTTCAGTTAACCTCCTTTATCACCAAATAAAAATGTTTATAGAGAGGTAAAGCATTGGAGAAGAACAGGGATCTTTACTCTGGAAACATGACTTTTATTCCTGATGTAGGATTTACTTTGCTCTTACCATAAGCGAAAACCAGTTGGACGAAGTCCTTATTGGGATCGTAAGTACGGCCTGAGAATCCGACAACCACGTGGAAGGACTGGCCCCGTCTTAGTATCACTGTCGGATTGTCTCGATGAAGCACTTCAAACTTGTCCGTGTGGTGAAGCTTAGCGTTCTCCAGGGGGTACAGGTGCACTGACGTCACCGCAAGCTGCTCGTCGTTAGACATGTCAAACTGAAAACGAATCCTAAATAAGCCCCATAATGCACCAACCGTGTCCCGAGCTAGTTGAATAGAGTCAATATCCTCTCATTCTCTTTTATGTGAACCGTTTTAATATTATCCTCCTATCTACTCTTACGTTCCACAAATAATCTATTGCCTTGGTTCTGTACGTATTTCTCTTCTCTCGAATGAGCGCTACATATCCTTCCATGCCATCTTTCTTGCTGTAATTATAATGTTAGGTGAAGAGCAGAAATTATGCTCTCCTCGTCACGTGACATCCTGTACCGCCATGCTGTCTACACCCGAGATAACTCGGTCAGTAAAGTGATCACTCGACACGTTGAAAGAGGCCACAGTAAAGTTTAGATTCTCTGTGAGTATAGAGTTTTATCCCTTCACCACAGACTCCCAATCCCCTACTTAATTTCATCAAAATTAAGTCCCATTGTTGTCAGAACCATATTTTTTTTTCCATATTATACAGTTCTACATCGAATGTGGGAGAAGAGGAATGCATATAGGATATAGGTGGGAAAGCCAGAAGTAAAGAGACCACTGGGAAGACCAAGGCGTAGGTGATAGGGAGGCAGGATGGGATGGTATGGACTGGATTGATCTGGTTCAGCATAGGGGCCAGTGGAGGACTTTTGTGAACACGATAATGAACCTTCGGGTTCCACAAAATGCTGGGAAATTCTTGAGTAGCTGCAGAATTGGCGGCTCGTCAAGAAACGCTCACCTCCAAGAGTAAGCGTACAGGTATACATTATTTAAAAAATCAAGACACTATTTCTGACTATTCTAATGTCTTCACTTGCAAAGGACGAACGAACGAATCCTGGGAGCCTTCTAAAAACTGAAGCTATTTCTCCCTCCGCCACTTCCTGTGCTATAGGGCATACCCAGTCTTTGCTTTGTAGTGTGTATTGGGGTCTTTTCCTCCAGGCGTAAAGCGGCCGGGGCTTGGAGCTGACCACTCATCTCCACCCAGAGCCAAGACTAGTATTCAGAGCTGTACTTCAGTCATACACGTATACTTTTTTATGGCGTTGTGTTTAACTAAACACAAGGACAATATAACCTTTCATCTAATACACACTTTAGAGAATAAATTTCTCTTTACAAGTACTATGTTTGTTCAGGAACGGTTGTTTTCTGTGCAGAGAACAGCTTTTAAAGTACTCATTGAATATTTTTATAGTTTGCGAGACTCCTCCAGCCAACACAGATAATAATGCCACGATTTTCCTGTTTACTTTGTAGATCAGTTTGTTTAACTTTCTGAAGCTTCCTACTTCATTATTAGGTTCCTGCTGCTTTGTAGGCAAATGTTATTACTTTCAATATTGCGATATTATGGCGTATTAAGGCATCATGACGGGCTCTGGCGCCCCATCGAGCCTTTTGTCTCATGAGTACCGGGGAATCTTTCTCCAGGGACGAAGCTGATATGTCTTGAACCTGACCACTCACGTCTGTTTAGTACCAGGTTTATATATACGTGGAATTATCCCTTCACACCCCCACCCATCTTTATGGCGTGCTTAATTAAGTACAGGGGCAACTTTACGTTTACCTTACGTATAACATTTTTCATATTGGCCGGAATGTCTCAGTCGGTAAGATGAGAGGCTGAGGGGCGATAGTGTCTCAGAGATTCGAACTGGGTTTTAGCACATAAATCAGTCACTTATCTTCGCACCCTGTTCCCTTAACAGCTACCTTAGTTTTACCTACCCTCATCCTTCGAAGTCTTCAAAGTGGACTTTTCCCAAGAAGCTTGGTGATCAAAATTTTGTATGCATTCCTTGTATCTTTCCTTCCCTAGTGAAATGTTATGCCCGTCGTATCCTCTTAGATTTCATTACCCTATAAAAACTAGATACAAGCAAAACAAGAAGTTCTGGGAAGAATTAATCTCCTACTGCCTTTTTATAAGACAAGAGTTCCGTGTTGTTAAGTATCATAATTACCCACTTCGATTTCTAAGTCCAAATACTTTCTTGAACTTTTTGTTTTAAGGCACTTGAAATGTCTTTAATTCCATCGAAGTATTCATTTCACACCCATACAAAAGAAGACTGTCAACGAAAGTTTTCTGCTAGAAACACTGCATACTCACAACCTAGTCGTAACGTCATAACAAGCAGCAACTTTCAAGATTCTCTTCCAAATAAGAACATTTCACGAAAAATCGACGGCTGATGACAGAGAACACTGTTGACAGATATACGTATGCGCCGCAGTAATTGGCACTATCTGCAACCGGCGACCGCATCACTTTTCCGTCGCACTGTGTTACCACACTCTCATGGAGTGTAATTACAATTTTATTGTGTAGAGATGTATTTTGGTCTAAAGACGTTCAGGAAAGAAGACGGATAGTAAATTTTGAAGTATTAGCAATAAATATTTCCATATTTTTTTCTCTCCAAAATATTATCATGAATCACCTTTGCACTTGTTAGTATTGCTACCAGACACTTTTGCTTGAGCTGCCTACATGAACATATATGTAGATCTTCGTGCCATGAGTCCGTTATTGTCGCCCGATTCTAACCGAAATTGTCACCTTTCTTTGCAAATATTAGTAAAACTCCACAATATTAAATTTCATCAAAATCTGTCATGCTGTTCTCGAGTTGTATGCAGACAGAAAGACAGACAGATATGGCGAAGCTAATGTATTCATTACAGAAACTTTTGACAGCGCCAAAAAAATAGGCAACAAAATAAGTTTGTCCCATTCTTGTTATTGCATTGTCGTGTGATAAGCCTCTTGGTAGACACGTCCCACGTGAGCCCTAGATGATTAGTAAGAGGCAGTAACATTAGTTGGATGATAATTGGCACTCTAGCACCGAGTCTCCAATCCCACATGGGATGGACTGAACCTAGGACTCAGTGGTGAGAAGTCGGAAATTAACAACCTCGCTTGACCGCGCCATAGCTCAAGCGGTTAGTCGCTGGCTTCCCACCGCGGCGGCCCGGGTTCGATCCCGGATCTGGTCAAGTGGGATTTGTGGTGGACAAACTGGCGCTGGGGCAGGTTTTCTCCGAGTACTTCGGTTTCCCCTGCCAATCTTCACTCCACCAACTGCTCCACAATCACGCTCACCTATCATCTGGGGCTGATACAATAGGCCAGAAGTGGTCTCAGTACAAGGGACTTAGTCCCACCCCACTAGCAATAAAAAAAAACACCTCACTAAGGTTCAGCCATCTTACTGAATATAGCTGCTTTGGAATGTTCTACACACTAATTCCAAACCTGTTTTTGAAGGATTTGAAATCTTGCAAATGAATTTAACTGTTGTCTTCTAAACCGAGTTAGTGTTAGTCTCGAGAAAAAAGATAGACTGGTCCACTTACTTTTGTGTGACGTCACGTATTATGGAAACAGTTGACTGATGCTGCGAGTAAAAAGTCTTCCGTACTTATGAGTGTTCAAGTGACCAGTTCTCTCGAGTTATGCTTAGTGCCACAGTCTCCCCTCCTGCCTCTCAACCAGTCTTGCAGCTCGCATGTGTTGTTATGTGGACTGACGAGGTCTGTCTGTGTCTTGTGATAATCGCGTTCTAGAAACACATCCTGACTTTATCATGACCTGGAAATTGTTTAACGTTTCTAGAATTTGGTGCAACTTCCTGAACGAGTTCTCACAACTGGAGAAGTTAATTTCATTACATTGTCACCTCAAAATGAAACCAATACTAGCAGTAGAGTTTAACCGATGACTATAACATTATAACGAATTATTAAATGCAATGGTTCATGAGGTTAGACCCTGTCTTCTTGCCACAGAGCCTCGGGTTCAAATCCATGTGATTTTGTGTGATATTCGTGGTGAATAAAATGGCATATGAGCTGATTGTCTGCTAGTTTTCTTCCTTTTTGTCTTAGTAATCAACATTCTGGCACTTCACGTTTTATTAATGTTGGCACTAGGTGGAGTTGAGTGGTCAGCTTTACCCCAGGGAAGGAACCCACTATACCCATTGGAAAGAGGGCTGGGTGTACCTAAGATCCGGGTTTGGCGCTGTGAAGAGAAAATATCTTGTCTCTGACTGGAAGCGAACACAAGTTCTTGACCCGTTCAGGCCGTAGTCCATCACTATATTTACTGAGCTATCTTGAATCAAAGGTCAAAGAAAATATTAATAAAATACGATGGTATTATAATGATAAATGCTGCTGGGTGTAAAACCTGGAGAAATAATTATCATTAAATGTAACATTTAAAGATATCCCTCTGTATAATTACCAAGAATCTGACGCGTATAAACGGAGTGAGGTTAACGTTTAATGTATATATAGTATCATCTGATGATGCTGAATAGTCAGCCTCTAGCTCCAGCCGTTTTACCTGTGATGTTATTCCTTTAGGTATTTGGGTGTTCCCCAAGACTAGTCTGGACACAGTGGTCGCTAACAGAATCAGCACTGCAATCGGGAATCGAAACCCGGTCATTCAACTCCTGTTCCCATTCACTTTACATAATGCTTCTCTTTATTTGTTATCAATTGGGGTCAATTTTCCATTATTTTGTAACCGAGCTGTACCTCCTGCCAGCGAGGAAGTAAGTTTATTGTGCAGCATTATTGGAGTAGGGAGGAAGAGATATTTTTAAGCATCCGATATTCCGGAAACCACAACGAAATGCAATTACTCGTTAAGTTTTCACACAGTATCAGGCCGGATAACCACAAGAATGAACGCAAGATATGGTACTGGGAACTGCGCATGAAAACCGAGACGAAGAAGGATCTGAGGACTGCCACGGATTAAGAACCGGGACGAGTAGGGTGAAACAATTTTGTGTTCACAACGAATGTCATTATTCAGTGTTTGCAAGAGAGGAAAATATTTGGGACCCTGGGAAAGGAAAACAATGCGAGGAATGAGAAATTTCTGCAACAAAACTCAATTTGGGCATTTCTCCCACCTGGAGCCCCCTCAACAGCAAAGAGGTTACCAGCTCACAGAGATGTTCTGCAGGACGTCACAGATTCTTAATGGGCTTCCATTAGGTTTTAGTCTTCAGTGTTCAGGTTTTATTCCATAGATGGCACTAGCGGTAGGCACTATTCGTTTTCACAAATTCTCTATTTTATTCCATGCATTGGTGTTTACCGTCTCAGTTTGTTGGCTAGATTTGTAGCACAAATTTTTACCTCCCGTTCTATCCTAGTTTCATAGTGTGCCTGCTTTATCACAATTTTTAATTTCATGATTTCCTGTTATCTCTCTTTGACATAGCCTGGTCTCAAGTATTTAAGTGAGTCAGACATGAAAGGTAGGTAAGGACTCACAATCTGTGGTTGATGTCGGGTTGTAGTGAAAACTTCGTGTTTGATAAGGAAGTGTCATTTGAAGACTTTGTGTTTTGTAATTAAAAGTTCTTTTCGTCGGAGCTCTAAACCTGGGATTCTGACTCTTCATATGTCCCCTCATTGCCAAATACTGTCTCTTCATGTGTCTCCTCATTGTCAACTACTGAGTTCTCATCAGTATAATTGGACTTTTACACCCAGACTGTGGGCCCTAATAGACAAACCAGATCAAAGGCGGAAGGTAAATGGGGAACTCATACCTCTGCTGCAGATTCATTGGATTATTAATTTTCTTTACTGTTTTGTTCTCCATCTCGTCCATGTTATTTTTTTTGTGTAGCAGTGTAAGAGAACTCTCTGACAATAAGGTGGGGCCGGGGTTGAATACCTCCATCGTAGCTATGCGAGTCGAAGGAGGCAACAAAAAGGAAAGTCTCGAATCTGAGACAGTAAAATAGGGCCGCGAGTCCCACGGGCCTCGGACCCAAGAATGACTGCTCTGGCGAGGGCCAGCGGCAATTGTATACGACAGACCCGTCCTATTGTCAAGAGAGCGCCCTACGTCAACAAACCCGCGACTGTATAACAGGAATAAAAACCTGGTATTAAGCCCCAGATGAGTGCTTTATTCCAAGACAGACTGGCCGACTGACCGTCGTCGTAACATAAGACTCAGACAGAATGGGTTGTCCAGTGATTAAGGTTAGCTCTTCCTACTGAGTAGGCGTACCCCCTCAACTGAGGATGGAAACATCCATTTTTCGAAACGTCATTCTTTCTAGTTTTTAGAATACCGGACGATAGACAAAGCCCGAAATCCCAGTAATTCTGAGTCATTATAATTTGTAGTCTTTACCCGATAATGTATTATTGTGGTGATAAAATTGAGGGAGATGAGATGGACTAGATACAAAGCATGCATGGGAGACAGAGAAAAACATGCATCCGAAGTTCTTGTCTGAAATAGTGGAAGGAAAAGTTCATGTGGGAATGTAGTCTTACATTTGATGCTGCCATTTATTGAAACTGTAATGAACAAAACTTGTACATGATTCGAAAGGTGAAAAGAAGAAAGGAACTACCATTTGAAGTGATAATTTAATACAATAATACCAAACATCGTGTCATATCTCAGGAGGTTAGACGCTGGATTTTCACCGCGGATCCTTGGGTTTTATCCCAGGACACTTCACGTGAAATTCGTGGTGGATGATACGGCACTGAAGCAGGTATTTCTCCGAGTTTCCTTCAGATTTTTCTGCTAATACTCTTGCCGACATCGCCCGTTCTCATCTGTCACTCTCTCCTTGGTCTTAAAGTTTGACCACCTCTGTGGTCTAGGGTCAGAGTTCCTGGCTACAGATACAGAGCTTCGATTCCCGGCTCTACCAGATTTTTTCTGAGAAATAGTGGGTCTGGAACGGGGTCCACTCAGCCTCTTGATGATAATAGCGATTCTGGTCTAGAAACCCGAAATTAACGGCCGTGGGGATTCGTTGCGCTGACCAAGCGACGCCCTCTATCCTCTAAAGTTTGCACTAACTTACCCGACAAGCTGCGGTCGCTCGGTCGGTATTGTTCGCCTGCGGACTAAAGCCACGAAGTTTTTTCTTTGATTCTGTATTTCATCATCCCGTTGCAGTTGTTCAAATTAACGTCCATTAGTTATCGTCCGTCGCTATTGCAACACTCTTCCATTCACTACCCAATTTTTTAGTTTGACATTATACACCTCGACACTACATGTTTCGGCCCCAAACGGCCATCTTTAGGTGTCTTGATATGTTAAAATTATTTGAATAAATTGTGTTAAAGCTGCTAGACTGTCTTAGTTCGTGTTAAAATCACAGGCTGTAGTCCTGTTTTCAAGGTTAAACCAGTTAAAATCGTTTAAGTTTCTATTATACCCACGTTATTATGGTGCATATTATTTCACCTCACATGGGGTGTCGTCCATTTTCATAAATGCATGTCTGTCCAGGGAGTTTTGTCTCGGCTGCTTGCCCCTCACATTCGTAGCCTACTTTTCATATATGACTGCCATATGCCCCTGGTTTGCGTGTTTCCTCCACAGCGTGTGATGTTGTCTTTACTAGTCTGTCTTAAGGGACATAAAGCCGAGTAGTTCGTTGAAAGTCAAGCGACGTTTCGGAGGAACATATCGCTTATATCTTCAGGATCGAAGAACTACCCGAACAAGTAAGCAGCAAGTGTCACTTTTGTTTCGTGTTTGGTGTATCTTCGATCCGGAAGATGGAGGCGGCATGTTACTTCGAAACATCGGTTGAATTTCGTCGGATTACAGGAAGTAACATCCCAGAAGATAAAAGTAAACAAGCAAGCAAGCTTACTCCATAGGGCTGAATCCCTTTTGAGAAGTGAATAATCACTCATTTAATCAAGATATTCACCATCTTTAATGGGATCGAAAGGGTTGTTACCATTTCCACAAGACTCCGCTATTGGTGTTTAAGAAGAGCAAGATGAACCCAAACCTAACATTTGAAATTCATTTTAATATTATATTCCTATGTACGCTTAGGTCTTTCAAATCTTATTTTCTCTTCATGCCTTTCAAACGAAATTCTGTATGCATTTCTCGCCCCTCACGTGCGTGTTACATTCTTCACCCATCTCATAATTTTTATTCTATCATCCCAATAATATTCTTATGAGGGGAAGAAATTACGAAACTCTTAACTGTGCAATTTTCTGCACCCTACTTACTGTACCTTCCTCTTTCTTGGGTCCAAAGATCATTTTAATCCCCATGGTTTAAAGCACATTCTTTCCCTAAAGTGGAAAATCAAGTTACACACCAATATAAAACAATACAGATCTTAGAGAGAGAGGTTGAGATGGTTCCATAAAATGCTGGGAAACTCTTGAGTAGCTGCAGAATTGGCGGCTCCTCAGTGCTCAGCTTATTAAGTAAGTAAGTAAAACTGTAGTCTTAATTTTATTATTACAACGTATTCTGAAAAGAATAAAATTGTTATGCTGTGTATTTTTTTTTCCTCTGATGCAGCCTTTCAGGGTTATTGTACATGTTCTTCGATAGAGTTAAATTCTGGCCCATAAGTATAATTTATTTAGAGTTAACAGATGTACATGTAAAATGTAAGTTAAAATTCCAGTGACTGTACACAGTGAAGCTTGTAATTCACCTCATATTATAAACGGATGTTCGCATGAGGCTGCACTTGGAAATCTTTTTGCAGTGG